TGTATTGAACTATTCTTCGATTTTGAAAGTAACTGAATTCCAATTTGTTCGCTTTAAAAAGTGAGTACTTTCTGATGAGGTAATATTTTGCAAGCTGATGATTGTGAATCGGTAAATTAGTCGGTCTCCAGCTGATAGCCACGGGTGGTCATCGTTAAAGCGTCATTGAAAACTGAAGTGAACTAACGGTGCTTAGCGGTATTGATGGGAATATTTGAAGAATGCCCACATAACGACACAGTGTATCCGAAAGTGCGAACGGTGCTAGTGTAGGTGGTTGCCATAGCAGGTCATAATCAACTGAAGGTGGATTATGAATGATTTTGATGAAAAGAATTTTGAAGGAGAGTGCTAAATCGCAGTGACAATGCAACGGAATGCTTTTAGGGATAAGTGCTGCAAACTCGCATTTGACTACATTCCATGTTTTCCAAAAGTAATAACTGTAGCTGTTTGAATCGAGATTTCACGAAAATGGTTCGTGAATACATCACTGCAAAGTTGCAAAATTGCAGAATCATTTTACGCAAACATTCCTGAAGAAATTGAATTGACTGAAAGGATTTATGAGTTGAAGAGAATTTTTTTGTATGTCACCTTTGATATCGATCTCCATATGTGCGAGCGGTTGCATGTTTGGACTGATGAATGCATTCAAACCGAAATTATCGTATTTGATCGCTCGATTACCTCTCAAAAGTTTATTGTCGAAATAAAGTGTCACCTCAGGAATAATCAGCTCACCAGCAATTATGAGCGAACCTATGAAATTATCACGTCCATCTGAACGTACTTCGCAAATAGGAATCTGAAATCGTTCGATGCACGCATGAGATCGAGTGGCTTCGATAAAACCAACTCATTTTGGCAGTCGAGTGAATGAAATCGAAGTAACCCTCAATGAATTTGATTTTGCAATGNNNNAATCGCAGTGCTATCGATGCTTGCTGTTCAGTACTTACGAAAATAATTCCGAATAATTAACCCAAACTTTTCAACAACCAGAAGGTTTGCTATATGTTCTGAATCATGCCCGGCAGTAGGTGACGCTGCCGAGCCCTCATTACTTTGGAGTTTACATGCGTGAACAGTGTATGATGAGTCAGTCAATCAAATGCTACTTGACGAAAGTGTTATGCATCGAATGATCAACGCTCACTTGTGCTCCAGTTACAACCACCGGTTTACGCAGATTCTCAAGCATGAATGAGAGCACGGATGAGGTGTACGCCATGGTGTCGGTGCCATGTAGCACCACAAATCCATCAAACATATCATATGAGGCGCTAATGTCTCGAGCGATTCGAATCCAATCATCAAACGTCATATCCGATGAATCAAGTAATGGGTGATATTCAACTATCTAAATAATGCATTCTCCTCAAAATAGCATCACCAGAAGTTTCAACTGAAATCAATTTAGAAGTGTGAATTAACACCAAAATTTGCTCAAATTAAGTCGATGGTTTTCACGTTCGGGTGCTCCATTGCCCCTTTTGATGAACTGGCAAACCGCCCTTACCACCAAATTACCCAAAATGGGTAAATTGACATCCTATGAGAACCACTGTCCTAGACTTTTACGTTGCTGATTATTGTAATCGTATATGATTGCATGAAAATCTATTGTCATTGATACACTCACTTCATACTGATTTTAACGGATTCTCATTCTTTTCAGACGTGCTGCAATCACTCTCATAGCTATTTCATGCGAATATCGTTCTCTCGATGAGTTTTTCTCATTCACTTCGACTCATTTCACTTCCCAGTTCGAATCAATTTCTCATTCTGTAGCTTATACTATTTACTGGATGCGTTGACGAGTGTTGACAGCAGAAATCAACAACACAACAATCGAGTTGAATTACTCAGCAACGTTCGACAGTCAAGCGATCAATTACAGAGTGTATTTGATAGAATGAGAATTTGACTTTTATTGTTGAATGAAATGAATGAGAAATTAGCGAAAGAGAGCACTTTTGATGATAAAAGCTATGAGAGCGATTGTAGCAGCAAGGAAAAGAATGAAAACGGTGTTAAAACAAATGAACACCCTGTTAGGCCCGAACGAAAATAGCAGAATGAAGATTTTTGCCATCAACTAACCGTATTTGCATATCCGAGTATTGAAAATTACCAAAATAACAACTGCACGAAAGACTAATTTCCCAACTCCCTCCATTAACCTTGGATACCTCCAAATTACCCAGAATGGTTAATTTCGCACCCTGTGAGAACCACTGTACTAAGTGATGAATTCGCAACTGATATACTTGATTGGCAAGGCACATACCCAGTAAAGTACTCGTTTGTGCATGTGTCGAACTGGTGGTAAGCATAATGGCTTAATGGCAGCGCCTGCGTAATGTGCTTCCACGTAGGCCTTATCGTTGAGTGGTGGTAGTTCACGAACAGCCTCAGGTAAGTAATGAGCAACTGGCACGTAAACTGCAAGAAAGGAAGGTGATCCTTAGGTAAATTAGACTTTTTTGGAGTCCGTCTAATAGTAAGCATGAAACTGCTGACGGCATTTGATGAGCAATGTTAATCAGTGATTGACATATCAACTGAATTCGAATTGTGCATATTAAACGAGTTCAGGAGTGATGTTTGCGTGCAATAAATAGACTCTCACCTCCATCGACACTCTTCATACCGATTGTTCCACCCGTATACAAGACCAGCACCTTTGCTTCAGGCATTTCTTGACCAGCCCTCAACTGTGGAATTCCTAACGTTTCCGCCACTGGGAATGCCACATCCGAACGACGTAACTCAGATACTGCTTTTGCTAATGACTGAATATGTGAACGATTCACATGGATATTTTCATAGTTTGAATAAATTCATAACGACCATTTCATACAAAAGAAATGGTTGTGGTTCAAATGTCAGCAATATATTGATTCTTCAACATGTTTCAGTGAATGAAGCAACAGATGACTGTCAGTAATATACTGTCAGCAGGTTTTATATTGTCAGCAGTAAGATATTGTAAGCAGTAATATATTATATATTGATGCAAATGAGCGCAGGTTTTCTCACAAGTGTGGATGGTGTTTTCCATTGGTGAACGAAAGTAGTATGCAAAATTCAGAAGGCAACAAGCTGCGATAGTGATACAAATGAATGAATATTTCGAGAATTGGACGCCACTTCTATATGTAATATTTGGGTAGAAATTATCATGTAGTATTTCTTAGCCTGTTTGCAAAAGCTTCTGTTTGTTATCAAAATCCTTTGCTGTTATCATGCTTTGCAGCATAACTTGATAAAATTATCACTGTATGCTTGGCCATCTTAAGCGCCCCCATTGAAGCTGCTATGACACATCGTTACTTGTGGGTGGAGGGTGAGGGTGGAAGAGGATGGATAGTGTATTTGCTGTATCAACCCAGCTGGGCGGCTGGCTGAAAACGGTCGATAATCACTTCTCCAGGTGAATTTTGCAAAATGATAGAGTCGAGTTGGCTAAATGAAGATTATCATTATTTATACACATAGTTTGAAATACCTGTGCGGTGGTCTGCTCAGTTCTCGTCCCGGTATGAACATGCAATGTTTTCGGTACATGAGACTCATCTACGAACTCCTCACTGGGAGGCGTTGTGTCTTTGACTATATGAAACGGCGTATAATTACCGGTTTTCCTGAATAAGTTCAACCATGTTGTAGGTTTACGAAACTCCGAAAATGCTTTCAAATTTGAGTATTGTAGAAGCAATCAAGATGACTGCTGGAAGTACCAGCATCACTTGCCTATTGATCGGGCCCACTCGAGTGACTCTCTGCTCGGCCATGCCTAGAAGAATCACTGTAGAGAGTAGTATGAGCGTCGGTAGCTTGTTCATCATTGAATTCACTCGAACCCTTTAATGCTTCATAAATTATCATTAATGCCAAACGTTGATGTTGCGACTAGACAGTCGCAAAAATATCACATCATACAAAATCACGTCACTA